TTAAAAATACCGCATCAGTACATCAAAAACAGTCATCACTTTAATTAAAATCGAATTTCTGTGCGATTGGAATCGGTGATTTTGTTTATGAAAACTCGTTTACGTTTGCAAAATTAAACAGAAAATTATATTAACACAAAAAGTAATAAAACATAAATCTAATATATCATACTTCTCAAAACTTTCATTCATTTCTTGTCCAACTGTTATCTTTAGTTGATTTATGTGTATTAAAAAAATGTAACTGTGTCGATGAAGAAAACCATCCTTTTGAAAGAGGTCAGTGTAAGAGAAAGGTTCATCGCTGCTTTACGTTTTGTTTCTGTTATCCTCTAAAGCAGCTAAGTTTAATTTCTGTTATTACACAGGCTGTGTGCTGCAAGGCTGACGACCTTTAAAAAAAAAAAAAAAAAAGCTTTCTTCTGTGAAGTTACTTTACTGAGACATTACGCTGAGCCGATAAGTCACTAGATTGTCTTCACGAAGCTATATTTTAAAATTTAAAGTACTTAGATTCCGTGTATTAATGTCCATCGTTCATGGTTAAGTATGCTTGAAGAATCAGAAAGATTTAGTTAAGCTTCTGTAAAGGCAGACAATAGATTTCGTGTATCTCGTAAATGCTATGATAGCTTCGATAAAGCCACTTTTGATGGTACTACACTTTGATTCACTTTTGATGGTAGAAGCTCGCAATTAGGTATCGTAAAAGAGATTGGCAACCACATCTTACTATATACAGTTCGAGAGCAAAAGAAAGTTGCCATAGCAATGTCCATTTTGAAAAGTCGGGTTTTGATTCAAAGGCATTGGGGAAAAGTTTGTTTCGAAACCCAATATCGAGATATACAAGCTTGATATTTTTAACACGTTGACTGCCAAGTGAAGTTTATAAGAAAACCCTCTTTTAGGCCACGAGCGCTGCTATGCCATGCGTCAAAATTGTTTCCGGTCGTAGGAGTCTAGAACGAAACATTTTGAGACATGCATTTAGTTTAAAATCGTTCCTGAAGAACGAAGTATCTAAGAAAGGGTACGAGATTCGAAAATTATCTCTTCTTTTTCAAATATTTTTTCCTATAGTGACAAATGATTGAATTTCTTTTCGGGGGTTAAAATTTTTGCTCCAACTTCTTGCGATGTCTAAAAGAAAAATTATTGAATAATTTTTAGGTGAACCATATACACTGACTACCAATAAGTATTTGGACACCTGTGATATAAAAGAAAAACTAACTTTATTCAAAATCAATAGTTGGTAGAGCCTCCACGAGAGGTAATTGGTCCTTACGCGTGGACCCTCCAGGGCATACTTTCCACAAGTCTTTGTATGACAGCTAATGGTATTTTTCCCACTCGGCTTGGAGAAGACATAGAAGTTCCTTCACCGATTTTGCAAGGGTAGTGCACCCCTGAATTCGGCGATGCAACTCGTCCCAGAAGTTCTCGATAGGGTTCAGGTCTGGACTCTGGGCAGGCCAGTCTATTCGATGAACTCCATTGGCATCATACCAAGCCTTGATTAACGTCGAAACATGACAACTGGCATTGTCGTCCTGAAAGAAACAGGGGTCCAACCCGTAAAACTGCCACAACGTAGGAAGCCGATTGTCATCCAAAATAGTGCAGTAGGCATCGTAGTTGAGCTTACCATGAAAAAATGGGGACCAAGGGTCCCAGCCCATACCAGGAGAAACACCCCCACACCCTAATTCCACCTCCGCCGAACTTGACTGTTGGCACAATGCATTCCGGCAGGAGACGCTCTCCAGGTAGACGCCAGACTCAGACCCTGCCATCCGAACGGTAAAGGGTGAACCTTGATTCAGTACTCCAAAGAACCAGTTTCCACTGATCTACGGTCCAATTTCGATGTGCTTAGCACCACATTAACCGAGCAGCGCGGTTGGACTTTGTGATCAAAGGTTTATGGGCGGCAGCACAACCATGAAAACCAAGCAGATGCGCTTCCTTACGGGTGGTATTCATTGAAACAATACTCCTGGATGCCTGTTGAAACTCCACGCGGATAAGGGCCATCGGTTGGGTGCGGTTCTTCCGAATTTCTTTGGACAGCACTCGTCGGTCTCTATCTCCCAGTTTCGTTGGTCTGCCGACTCGGGGCACATTCTGACAATCACCGCTCACCTTCCACTTCTTAATCACATAGGTCACTGTTGATTTTAGGTACTTCAGATCGCTAGATATGTTCCTTAAGGATCGGCCACATTTGCGATACCCGAAAATTATACCTTTCTCGAAATCAGAGAGCTCCGAATTGCGAGGCATCTTGCATGCGACTAAAGCCGATGCTGTTTCCTACATGATATATACCGGCGGAGTCCGTGACATACCTTTGGACCGCAGATATTGTCATTTGCATAGGTGTCCAAATACTTACTGGTAGTCAGTGTAGCAGTGAAGAAGAAACCTGTTGCCAGGCTTACAAAAATTCGAAAAGTAATGATACGGAACAGTCGAGGGTTTTCAGAAATATAATTATAAGCAAATTTGCATGTTCAGATTCTGATTCGAGTACTGATAAATGCAGTGATAATACATGGGGTGTAGATTCTACCGATCATATTTCACAAGAACTGGTTGTTTAGGAAGAAGGAAAAATTGATACCGAAGAAATCTTATTTCAGTTTAGTGAACGGTATGAATTTACCTATCTACAACAACCATTTTCGCTTCTTTCTTTCAACAATCATTTTTTTCAAATACCTTCTTTACCTCAAAGTACTCAAAAGAACTATACCTGAATACGGAACTCAGGTGATCGGTTGGGTCTGATCAGAAATTTTGCTGTCAGTTAAAGTGTTAAAGCGTGTTAAGTTAAAGCATTTCCCGCAGTGAGGGTCAGAGCTTGATTGAAGTCAGAATTATTTAGAAAATGACAATTGGCAAATGGCCTGCACTGTAAGCATACCACAAATTTCAAATCTACATGACCAATCTAATCATTACATACTGTATTAGCCTTTGTTCCTACATGTCGTACTGCTGAAATGTTTGAAGCTGTTATAAGGTCCCATTAAGAATATATATGGTGATGAATTATTCCCATTTACAGTGATACTTTGCATAACAATTACACATATGAATCGAAATTAAATATAAAAAATGACCTGTATATGAAAAGTAAACAAGCAGAGGAATCGAGCAAATAACCACATTTCATAGTACATTATCGCACAAAAATTGCAAGACTTTCATAACCACAAACATGAAGTAGCCCAGAGATAATTTCTTTTTCTTGTGAATATGTGATGAACACAAAATATTCATGTCAAAATTAAGACTATAAAGAAATTGTGAGTCAAAATTAAGACTGATCTCACATGACTTAAAGTGAAAATTTAATTAGAAGAGAGCCATGTCAAAGGTAGACAGCAGATCTCAGTAAGCTGAGATGAACAAAGTGACTGATTTGTTCTGACAGTGCCATGCACAATTTCAGGATGATTTTGAAGAAACGTCAAGGCAATTCCTACACTACTTTAAACAAGGTCTTGAAATTGTAACTTCCCATGAAACCAAATGCAGTTGTGGAAGCAGGCCAATGACAGCTGAACTAAAAGTCTGAGAACTGTGTACATATTTACTGCATGTAAACATTTTAAAACTTTTAAATTAGTTAAATTACTTAGCATTTCCAATATTAGTGGTGTTTCTATTATTATCTGCACTTTTTTAGGATAGTTAAGGATTTTGAACCAGACTTGCGGGACTGATAAGAATTATTCCCATAGTAACTTATGGAAAACAGTGTTCTGCGTATCGAATGCCATTGAGAAACCACTGTTTATTGAAGATTTCTAAATAAGTTAAAGAAAACAATCAGTATTGGTCCTTGAGATGTGGCATAATTTCAATTTTGTATCATGATGATGGGGCGAAACAAAATAACTTTGGTAAAGGCTGACATACATCATTTAGAACACGAATAGAAGCATTTCAATTTACATTACACATAGACGCGGGAAGGAAGAATTCAATCCCGTCATCAAACAAGGGGGCTTGTCTGTGTGAAAGTTGCCTTTTTATCAAAGAAATCTTATGGCGACACATCTGAATGTTTTAAGAACATTTTCAGTTTGAGTTTCTCATCCAACCAGTAATAAATTATTTCAGAGCTACCATGCAAAATTTTCAGTTGCAGGCATAAGGATTAAACCTTATCTTCAAACAAACATTACAGTTATCTACTAAAGCAAAAATTTTCCAGGGATAAAGGAAAGAGGTGAGGGACACGAAAGACAAAATTTGCCTACTAAGAAAAAACATTTTTAACTCCACCACTGCCACTCCAAAGTTAGGTTGCTTTTTTCTCAATCTACAAACAAAAAGAAAGAAAGCAATGTCCCGGAACGCTCGTTTAATCGAATATGGCAAAGCACACCTAAGCTATCTGTCCTTGCGTGCTTTGTTCCTATGTCTAGAAACACCTACAAAATTATGTTACACGTAAAAAATACCATCTCTAAAATTGTGCCCTCTCTTAGCTATGCTACTGAAGCAGAAGCTGTCAAGGGTTCCAAGCGCCGACTTTTTGAATGATGCTAGCTTTGCTCAGCATGTGCTTAGGATAACAAGGTGAAAAATGCATGACAATTTTTTTTTTTGAAGAAAAATTATTAAGTGCTGTAACCAATTTTCTCTTTCTTGAGGGTCAATAAAGTTTAAGGAGTGAAATTTGGGGCTTTGGTTCCTGGCCTGAGCTGGTCAGCATTTGCTTTTTGGGGCACCAATTCTTTTATGAAATTTTCCTTTTAATGTGATACATACTGGTGACAAATATAGTAATCTATGAAGAAAACAAACACATCATGTAAAATATAGAATTAGGTGGAGTGGGAACTTTAAACAAGTAGCGATTTTATATAAAACTGCAACTTGAATTTCATACAAAATCCGTACCAATGAACAATCATGTAATGACTTGTTACCATTAAAATATATTTTCTTTTTCAAAAGGAAAAGACAAAGCCAACAGAAACATAATATAAACAAATTTAATTGCATTTTATATTTTCTGCCACCTGAAATTTGGCAGTGGAATACAACTGCATTTTAACTGAAATAAATTCACAAAATACATTTCATAAAAGATAATTCTATGTACTATATAATATCCACTAATTCTCAACTCAAACTTCAATATAAATCAACAAATTATTTACTAATGTAACTGAGATGACTTAAACACATTCAAAGTCAATATTTAAAAATGGTTTCAAACATAAAGTAACATTTTAATATAAAATAAGCAAATACACTAAAAATCATACATGATGTATTTTACAAGAACATTATACATGCTTAATTTTAATCCAGACATGATTCTATGTAGGCTGAAAGGCCATCACATTAGTTTCTCTCATTTATCATAAAGCACACATGGATTGAGCACAATTTCTCAATTAATGCTATCCTGGACATTCATCTTCAGTAAGCGCTTTTATTCAAGATTATTGGTTATCTTTCAAGATTACTGAAGTAAAAATGAAATATTAAGGTACAACACATAAGTCTATTGCTATAAAAATATTACTGCACAAAGCAATTGCAGCATATAAAATTATTGCATTCTGCCCACTTTAGGTATTTCATAATTTATGAAAATTACACTCAGTAAACATTTTGAAAAGCACACAATTCTTCTTTGTCAGGAATAACAGCAATTTCCTAATCTACTAATTTATGCTATTTACAGAAATTCAGCATTATATTCAAAACAGAAATTTCTGTCTTTATAATACCTTTCATTTGTACATATTGCAGGAAATTTTAAGACACAGAGTATCAGTACATAGCTTATCAGTTTACAGCTTAAAAATTCAAAACTTACACATTTTACACTTCAATACAATGAACACTACCACTGAAAATGCATTACATAGTTGATTTAACCCAGAGTGGCATCGTGTTTTGGGTCTGCTTATGAAAACTGTATTACAGAAGTGATTATTCAAATTTGTAAAATTTTTTATTTTAGTATAATTTTCATAATCTCTTATTAAGATAATATTCAGATCATTTAAGTAAACCAGAAAACAATATTTCAAACAATATGATAACACATAGCAAATAACAAAAAATCTCATGACCAGATAAAGACTGTCATGCCACTCGGGGTTAAGAAAAGAAGTTTGTAATCACCGTTTTAAGCACAAAAGCTAAACATAATTCTCCATTTTCTACTTACAGGTTGACATCAGAATACAATTTACAATTTAACAAATTATAACAATAACAACTTATAACAATAATTAAATATTCATTAAAACACCATGCATTCTAAGCAACGACTTCTTGGTAATTTCATTACATGTTAGGATATAATACAAAACTGATGAAATAATTTTTTGGAGAGATTAAATATTTGAAAGTATGACTAGCAAAAATACAGAAAAAGAATGAGTGAATATGAATAAAATTTAAGAGATCCCCAATACTTGATGAAATACAGCTTGATTTTAAAAACAAACCATAAAAATATAACTATTAAATAAAAGAAAATTTCAAAGTTTTAATAGATACTATAAACCAATGTGATAGAAAGTTATTAATTATGGAATAAAGCAAACATCCACAACACCGAAATAAAATAAGGGAAAATAAAAACAAACTGAAATAAACACATATTTATATTACAGCCTTTTTTAGAAAACATTCTTCAAATGAGAATGATATTTATGAATGAATTATTTTATACCCCCATTCAAATGCAGAGTAAAAATGACTTTAAAAACAAAAATTACAAGGAAACAGCTGCAGTATATTTCCTTCACATATGACAGATTTACCTTCAAGCTTAACAATTCTTTGGTTCTAAAAGATAAATACTACATAAAAACGTTTTGCTAATGGGGTAGAATAAACAAATAAAAAATTTAAAACAGATAGCTCAGACACAACATTGGGTTAAAAAATACAACAAAATATACATGTAATAATATTTACTCAAACTTTTAAAAAAGATATTCAAGTACTTTCAACAACAAAAGATGAATAAAAATTATAGGATATACAGTTTCACTGATTGTTCAAACAGTTACATTTAAAATTTAAAAAAAAAAAAAATTAAAAGTACATAACTACTACTCTATGAACAATATCGGTTAGTGCATTCTTTATATGGAAGTCAATGATACAACAATGATTCAAAACTTTCATAAAGTTTTAAGTGATCAAAATTTATTTACTGAAGAAAAGTTAGAAATACAGAATTATTAAAATAATAAAAACAAAAGTAAACAATATATCGCTTAAAAATTATTCATCAAGATTACCATGATGTTGGACTTATAGCATTTATATCGAAGTTGGAAATTACCAATTTAACTGCTTCCCTTTTAGATCTTTCATCATTTTCTGCAAGAACAGAATCTGATGATTTCTTTACTTCTTTACTCTTATTCTCCTTAACACTAAGTGTTTGTCCTTTAACATTTTGCTTTGGTTTCTTTAAATTGCCTAAATAAAACCATCGTCCTGGATTAGTTTGTACAGTATCTTTTTGCCCACTCATCTTTCTACGAGGTGCAGGTGATGGTTCAGGAGTTGCACATGGTGTACTATCTGGAGATGAATGAAATTCTTCATGTTTTATGCTATTTAAAATGGAATGATACAGAGTAGGTGAATGATCTACTGTTTTGATATAAGGATCTGAGGTTGGTATTTCAACTTCTTTTGAAGCAGTCGCAGCAGTATTCTCTACTTCAATCTTTGGAGTGTCAGACAAGTTACTAGGTTCAACTGCAAAAAGCAATTTAATGAATATAAGTACATGCATAAAGAACACAATTACATACAAACTGTTTTGAAAATGTTTTGAACAAAATTTTCTACATGCTGTCTTCTGCCTCCCCCAAAAAGTGCTTATAATTTGATCAGCCAAATTACTAGGTAACCAAAAAGTTCTTGCCATTTCTGATATGACATTGGAAGAGTGGACTCCAATATAAAAAGTTGCCATTCGAAGTTGTTTGCTGTATGATTTTAAAATGGGCCTGTCAGCAGCAAAATCAAGTCACTAAATTTGCCAGGGCTTTGGCAATGATGCCGTTAACAAACGAACCGCTAGGCAATGGTTCCAGAAGTTCAGGACAGGGAATAGGTCTCTTAGTAATGCACCATGCAGCGGTTGACTACAAGTGCTGGATGATTAGGCTCTGAGAGCAGCCACAGAGAGTGACAGTAGTGAAACATGTGGTGAGCTTGCTACACACTTCCAGGTATCTGATGAAACAATGAGACTCTATTTGCATCGCATAAGAAAGTCATACAAGCTGAGCAAGTGGGTACCCCACTTACAGTCTGATGCAAACAAGGTACGGCATATTGCTGCCTGTTTGTCATTGCTTACTTGGCACCAGGATGTATCCATATTTGAGCGAGTATTCACTGGCGACGAAAAGTGGGTCCAGTATGACACACCCAGGAATTCCAGACATTAGTTGTCACGACAGGACCCTGCACCTCACATTGCGAGACCTTCTCTCCACCCACACAAGATCATGCTCTGTATCCAGCAGACTAGTTGCCAAATGGGACACTAGGAGGTCCTGCCAGTGGGCCAAACCATCACGGTAGGCCTTCACTCGTAGCAATGAGAACACGTGCATCAGGCACTGATGCATAAAGAGCCAGCATTGGACAATCATTAGGGTGTTCTCCTCCTTCATGACAATGCAAGAGCTCATGTGATTCGGGAGGCCAGGGATATCATCCCCATATTCCCCAGACCTTGTACCAACAGACTACCACTTTTCCATTCCCTGGATAACCATCTTCGCGGGAAATCATTCAACAACCGGCCAGACCTCGAAAAGGCCCTCACGGACTTCTTTGAGTCCAAAACTCATGAGTTTTACTGCGATGGCATCACACAGCTAGCCACTTGTTGGCAAAAGGCACTGGATGTCGACGGTGATTACTCTGAGGATTAGTGGTGATTACTATTTGTTTTAGGACTTTTTCTTTCTGACTGCCCAAAACGACAAGAACTTTTTTGATTACCTTGTAGTATAGTGGCTAACGTACAGTGGTAAAAAAAAATTCAGAGATGGAAAACATTTTCTCACATTTCTCCTAAAATACGACACAAAATCTGGACAGTTAATTGCCATATAATGTCATTGTGGCACTTGTGTCACTGAGATGAGTTTACGTATTCTTGTGGGTGTTGCTACGCCCAGCAGGAGGTATAAAAGTCCCCGTCCAGTAGCTCAACTTATTCCACTCTGCAGTACAGTAGTGATTTTTGTTGTCTTTTTTTAACAATCTTGTTGTTTTTTTGAGTAAAATGAGTACACATCATTGTTTAGACCAGAGCTGGGCCAACTCCGGCCTGCCGGAAGGTTCTGTACGGCCCACGGATTAAATTTTAATTTGCTGGTCCGAAGGCAAATTAAAAGAAATATACATTTATATATTATATATCCATCTCCTTTTCTACTTTATTTAAATATTTTTTTCCCTCCTTTTTTTTCAAAGGACTGATGATCTTTTTACTTTCTGTTTTTGTTCTACAAAGTGTAAATCGACGGAAATAGCAAGCAGAGACAGCTTTCAAGCGGTAAAGTGTTAAAAGCGGAAGTTCTTTGTTAGTTATATCTGTAGATTGGCGTCAAGAAGTGTTATCTCTTTCTCGGGGAGCAGACATATGGGAATTCAATATGGATGAATCACATGTGGCAGACTGCGCATTTTAAACTCCAGCCAGCTGCTTTTTTCTTTTGGCACAAGTTCTAATATTATTGATTGAGCAATGGAAAGATTGCGGACATATAGCATCATTGTGAATAGTGGTGAAATTATTAAAAGTATAGTGTAGCTAGTACTTGTTTGAGTTATTTGTAAAATACTTCAACCCCACAATGGCTACTAAAAAACGTAAAGTTGATTTAGAGTGCCGTGCTTTTAATGATTAACGGTGACTTCTAGAATGGACCCGGAAATATTTTTCTACAGTTGTAAAAGATAAACCAGTGTGTCTCTCATCTGCAATGAAGCTGTAGCAGTCTTCAAAGACTATAACATTTCCCGTCATTTCACATCTAAGCATAAGAATTCCAATTACGAGGCAATGTCCGAATATGAAAGAAAACAAAATGCAGAAAGTCTTTGTAAAAAAATTGTCAGGTGGACAAAATTTTTTCAAGAAGGTAAAAACAGTATCCAAGAAGCAGCTAGCTACACATGCAAGTTACATTGTAGCATACAATATTGCTAAAATAATAAAGCCCTCAGTGGAGTTCGTTAAACAATGCATGCTCCAAGTTTGTGATGTTTTATGTCCAGACAAGAAAAATAATTTTGAGACTGTAAGCTTATCTCGAAAAATGGTGACTTCTAGAATCAAAGTCATCAATAAAAATTTAACATCACAATTAGAGTCAAAGATCATTTTTATTTAAAAGTTTTGTTTAAATTTTGCTCCATAGCTATGGAGGAAAGCACTGATATAAATGATATTGCTCAATTAGTATTTTTTATAAGAGGTGTTGATGAGAACTTTGAAATTACAAAAAGAATTGGCGTGCACGCATTCTTCACAGGGAACAATAACGGAATGTGATATTTTTTGTGTATTTCAGAAAGGGCTTTTAATTTTGAAAGTGCTTATAACAAATATATGTAATATTAAGACCAATGGAGCACCAAATATGACAGGAAAAAAATCTGGATTTCTTGAACTTTTTAACCAAAACTATCACAGAAACAATGTTGTTTATCTACATTGTGTTATACATCAAAATGCTCTCCGTAAATCTGCATTGAATATGAAATTCGTGCTTGATGCAGTCATGAAGCTTGTAAATACTATTTGATCTCGTGGGCTTACTCACAGGCAATTAAGAGATTCTTCAATTCAAGCAGTCTGAATTCTCTGATGTACTGTATTACATGAAAGTATGGTGGCTGAGTGCAGGATGTGTTTTTGAGCAAGTTTAGCAGCTGAAAGATGACATTGTATTGTTTTTCCATGACAAACAGTGTTCTGCGGAGTGTGAAATGCTAGAAGATACAGAATGGCTTTCAGACTTTGCATTTTTCACAGATCTTTGTGATATGAGCAACTTGAATGCCAAGATGCAAGGGGAAAATCAATTTATTGATGATATCTGGCCCCATCTCAAAGCTTTTAAACTAAAACTTAATCTGTTTGCTGGGCAGCTAGCTAAGAATGACTTGTCTCATTTCCCCAGGTCAAATCCAATACCCTTAGTAAATGAAGAGAAGCTTAATAATTATGGAGATGGCTTGAAAATTGAACTGCATTTTGAGTTCAAACGCAGATTTCAATGGCATTCAAACAGAAATGGATATTTTTTCATGCCTTTCAATGTAAATTGTGAAGCAGTGAGGTCAGATTTGCAGCTTTAATTAAATGAGTTGCAATCTAACAATCTTCTCAAGCAACTGTTTCTAAATATGTCAAAGTTAGAGTTTTACAAATCATTATCGAAAGTAAGTTTCCAAAATTTAATATCTCACACCCAGAAAACCAGTGCTAGGTTTGCTTTATCATATATATGTGAACAAGTGTTTTGAACTATGAACCTTAGAACGAATTATTTCAGAAGTAGACTGACAGATGAGCATTTAGCCTGGTTCCTTAGAATCAGTACATCTCGCTTCGAACCTCAATATAAGGAACTTTAAAAATGAAATCGCAATTTCATTAATCTCATTAACATATTTAAATTGTAAAACTCTTATGGTGTTTTTTAAATTAAGAAAAATTTATCTGGGCCCGCCAAACTTTTTTTTTCCGATACTTGGCATGCGACCGAAAAAGTCTGCCCATCCCTGGTTTAGACTAAGGTATGAGATGGAGAATCGTGGTTAGGCTTGAAGGCAGGGCAGTCGCAAGCTCAGGTTGCAAGATATCTGGATGCAACACGAAGTGTCATCTCTTAATTTATGGAATCAGTTTAGAAAGAGCTGGAACAGTGTCCAGAAAACTAGGACAAGGTCACCGGAGTGCCACAATGACCAATGACGACCAGTATTTGGTACTTTCAGCCAAGCGCCAGAGCACATCAACTGTCTCGTGGACCTTGCTACTGCCACAGGAACATCAGTTTCAAGGAAGACATTTGATGATAGAAGGCTCCATGAGACAGGTCTGCATGCCAGAAATCCCTGCTATTTGCCTCCCACTCATTCTCTCCAACAAAAGAGAATGTATACAATGGTGCATACAACACCAACACTGGACACAGCTTCAATGGGCTAATGTTCTCTTCATGGATGAGTCCACATTCAGTCTACAACCCGATACCATCCCAGGCAACATCATAGAAAAGCGTGGTGGAGGAGTGATGGTCAGGGCAGGGATCATGCAAGTTAGCTGCACATCGCTCCTTGTGTTTGACACTGGTTCCATAAAAGCCCAGAGGTACAGGCAGGAGATCCTAGAGCCCTATGTCCCACTTTTCAGGAGTGCTGTTGGCCCCGAGTTCACTTTTATGGACTACAATACACAACCACGTAGGGCCCACCTGGTTGATGACTATCTGGAAAGCAGGGATATTCACTGAATGGAATGGCCAGCCTAATCTCCTGACCTTAATCCTACTGAACTGCTTGGGATGCTCTTGGCTACTGCAATAAGCCAACCCAGAACCATTCAGGAGTTAAAAACTATTCTAGTGGAGAAGTGGGTGCAACTTTCACACAGCACTCCTGAACTCTCTAATTAATAGCATGGCCATTCGTTGTGTATGCTGTCTGTCTGTCAGAGGCAA